TGCCTCTCGAGTGCCGGGATTAAATGCGTGCACCACCAAAGCCCAGCTTAAACTACTTCTTAAACCTTTACAACTTAAACTTCCATATCCTTGGATATTCTTTTTTTTTTTTTTCATCTGATACTTTCTCATGAGGCACAAATGGTTGATTTATGAGAACAGTCATTGCCAAGCAAGGTCCTCTAAATAAAGAAATAGTAAAAAGTTACATTGAAACCTGCTTTTATGTCTGCTTCTTTCACCAGGAGACCTGATAGCTCTAGAAGCAGCAAGGCCTGCTTTTCACATTGGAAATGAACTAACTAGGCAGCTGCTATTAAACTGTTGAAGCTATAGTTGCCAACAACATGACCAGAGATCTGAGAAGAATAAATCTGAAGAGGAAGTATATAGCAAATGACCTCTGTATTGATTAAAATGACAGACCTACCAGCTCCCTGGACAATCACTTTAGGCTCATCCTAGGCAATCTTGGTAATCTTGATGGAGGCTGGGTGGCTTCAGTCTTCAGTGGTCACACCAGACAGCATTAACTCATTAACTGCCACATGGGGCAGAACTCGCCTTCAGCTGACAGACCCAGAAGATCCAAGAGACTCTGAGGGTGAGGAAACTGGGAGACTGGCTTATCTTGGCAAGACAAAGAGGGGCAGTCAGTTCTCCAGTGTCCAGCTTGTCCACAGATTAGGCAGGGTCCTGGAGGCTGAAGAGGCAAGGGGGTAGGTAGTTTGCTCTGTAGTTAGCACTTATCACAATCCAGGTGGAGTTGTCTTCTTTGGGGGAGACTTTAGGCTGCCTCTAGGAGCTGCCATTTTTGTCTATCATTGGAAGGCTTTTTCATTAAACAGTTTAAATGCCATATTCATCAGATCTCTGAAAAGTTTTGAGGGACATCTATTAGGTATGCCTGATTTTAAATAAACTTTACTTACTATTATATAAACATATACAAGTTACTTGCTTTAGGCTTGACCTTGAAAACTGTCAGTGACGCAGCATGTCTCAGCCTTAGTCCATGAGGTTCTACCTGAGTGGGGCTGTGTGGACCTGGAAGCTCCGAGCAACCCAGCGGCGATAAAGACCAAACACAAGCAAGTTGTCATCTTCAGAGAACTCTCAGTTCCATGTTGTGGAACTAGAGTCATTTCTTTATTAGCCATCTTTTCTGGTGTTTCTTAACCATCCTGCTAATATCATGAGGCAACCATTTCTCTCTTTGTTCCCTCGCTGCTCTGGCAGCTCGCCTCTCTTTCTAACCTTCTATATTCACAAGTTATTCACATACCTCTCTCCTCTGCCCAGGTGAGGGCCTATTCAGATGTTTAGGCACAAACAGATGCAAATAAGAGGCATATTACCCTCAGGCCATGGTAAACAGTAGTAGCCTTACTGACATACAATAGTGGGCTGGAGCTTTCAGGTGCTCCAAGTTTAGTGAGACCCAAGGCTGAATCTCAAAATATTCCATAGCGGAAATACTTTGGTCCCCCAGAAAACATATATATAGAAGACTAAATAAAGCTTACTCCTGTATGCAAATTACATTTGTATTTAGCATGACTACAAGTATAGCTTTGGACACATTAAAGAACTTGATTATTTATAAGGTGACTATTAACTTGGATGATTTGATAATCATTAACAGTTTACAAGTTAATAGCTTTTATAAGACTAGGGTTTGAATTTTTATCCCTGTTAAATTTAGCCTTAAAATTGTAATTTTTGAATCAAAGCTTTTATTATCAAATAAAACTTCAAATGTGAGACTGGGAGTTTTTTAAAATCATGAACATAGTCCATAGAGAGGTTGGCAGCCTTGTTTTCTTGATCCTTTCATAGTGTACCATTCCAGAATATCAGGTTCAGTGTGCCTGATTTTATGTTGAGGTCTTTGATCCACTTGGGCTTGAGTTTTATGCGGGGTGATAGATATTGATCTGCTTACATTCTTTTACATGCAGATATCCAGCTTGACTAGCACCAGTTGTTCAAGATGTTTTTTTCCATTGTGTATTTATGGCTTCTGTATCAAAAATTAGGTGCCCACAGGTGGGTGGATTTATGTCTGGGGGCTCTCCCTCATATTCTTACAATAATTTTCCAGATTGCAAAAGGTGTTTCCATGTTCCTTAACTTTAGCATGTTTTCATCAGAACTTTTTATAAAAGATTCTAGAATACCTTTTAAGTTTTCCCAAGCTCATTTTTATTTCTGTCAACAAACAAAGACAGCTTGCCCCACATCACAGATTCAATTCTGAGAAAAAGGATAGACTTGACAATGTTTCAGATGAACATTGAAAATCCCTCCTTGGTTTTTCCTATTCCCAGATCCAAGGTTATTTGCTGCTGGGCTGTTGGGAGCACACAGCAATCAGTAGTTAAGATTGTGTCATCAAATCAGCTTCTATAAGACAGCAAAGGGCAGCAAACTAAGAGCCCAGGAGCATGACCCTGGTCTCTCAGAGATATAGCCAAGTAGACAACTGTTTGCTCCTGACCCCTGATCCCTCCCCTACTCCCACCCCATGCTTATACCTTCCTGCCATCTTCCTAGGACAAGCACACTCTGCTCTCCTAAACTACAGTCATAGCACATTTGTGAGAGGACACTGCCTCTGTTCTAATGGCCTTTTGAAGGCAATGGAGCCTATAGAAGGGGCCTGACTGGCAAAGGAGGCCCTGTCCTTGGTCTGGCCAGTTCCTCTACCTGGTCAAGCATGATGTGGACAGTTGATGTGTCACACTTCTGTTGCCCTGGATGCATCTGTGCTGCCCTCCCTTCTGACCTTGGTGCACTGAAGAGGTCTGAAACTGTGAGGCAACCCCCCCCCCCACACACACACCCAACTTGTTTCTGTCAGGTGCCTTGTCACAAGAGCAAGGCAGCAAATACTGTTCATACTGAAAAAAAACTAAGACACAGCATGAGCAGTTGGCTTGGGCAAAATTCCTATGGCAATTGCAGTTTTTAATCTGTTTTTCTGACTGCAATACCCAGTCTTTTGATATGTAATGCTGATTCCCTAGAATGAGTTTATTATTTTTAAAACTGACAGATAAAATTGAACGTGTTTATTAAGTGCAATGTTTAAGGAATATATACATTGTGGACTGGCCATGTTAGACCCCCGGAAAACTCAGGCCTCCAGGGTCTCAGCCCAGGATCGAGGTCACCCCAATCACCAGGCGTATTTGAAAGCTTGTTGCAAACTGCATGAGGCTTTATTGTTGTTTAACGAGCTAACCCCATGTTAGCTCCGGTCTTTCACCCACCCCCTATGGTGGATGGCTAGCAAAGACAGCTCGAACCGGCTGCAGAGAGATTTTGTAGGGCAGCATAAGGGGCGTGTCAAAGGGTATGCACAGGCTCAGGATTGGTGTGCCTTCAGGCTTGGAGGGCTTGACCTGTGTTGATTGGCCAACTGGTTGTTATGGCCCATAGGCCCTCCCAGGGTGGTTGCTATGCTCTATAGTGTCATTGATGTGTGCTTGTCCATAAAGCACACCCAGAGCCGTAAAGCATAGCACCACCAGCTAACTTCTGATTGGTTCCTTGTCACAAGGCAGGCACCTAACCTTTAGTGACCAAGACAAGGTCAGGCAAGTGCATGTTCGACTGTTATGGCTGCCGAAATGGGGAGCTGGTCCCTTCAGCCACACCTAGCTAATTATCTTAGAGTTAATACATTTTGTGAGAGCACATAGCATCCACTCACTCTTCAATTACATTATTACAATAATCACCATTTTTTAAAAATAGAGCTGTTAACTTCATTGAGCCTATCAAACTGTAATTTTGTAGCCATTGGTTAGCATCTGTCCTTATGCCCTCACATCCAAATGTCAGCCCTAGTAAACAGTACTGTTAGCTCTTATTTTTATATCAGGTGTTAAGTGCATTCGTGTGCAAGTGTCCATGGTGGACAGAAGAGTGTCAGGACCTATGGAACAATCCTTACAGATGGTTGAATGCCTGGCATGGATTCTGGGTACCAAACTCAGCTTATATGCAAGAGTGGTAAGCACTCTTAACCACTGAGGCAACTCTCCAGCCCCTAATGTGGGCTAAAGTTGATGAGAAAAATTAGTAAATGCTGACTCAAGTCATTTTGATAGAACTGTCGGGGCCCAAAAATTATCGATTATAAAGTTTTGGGGTCCAAACCTCCACTATTTACAGGAGCCTGAATCTCCCATTGTCTTTCAGATGCCGGCTAAATTACCACTGGATGGCTTGGCCTCAGTGGAGAATGTCTCCTAGTTTGCATAACAACAGACCTAGGCCCTGGGTGCTGCCTGCACCTGTTCTGAGGGTTTTGTTTATATGCCTAGGGACTGTTTAGGAGTGCTGCTAGGGTTAAAAGAATCTTTTGATATCAGCTTTATATATGATAGTAGACGTCTTCTGCGGTCACCCCCACTGTTGGAAAGCTATTTAAGAGGATGCATGAATAAACCAGAGACTCCAGTTTCCAGCATGGACTGAGAGCCCTCATGAGATGACAAGATGTGTCTGTGTCTTGTCCTTAACACCGCGGGGTAGCTAGGAGTTTCCCCAGGTCCATGCACCCCCACTCAGGGATGGACCTGAGGCTGTTAAGATGGCTCTGATTACAGCCCCAAAGACATCAGTTCGGAGCAGATGGCCTCTGTAGTGTGGGACTGATACAAGCCGGGCCCTGGCAGAACTGAATCTAAGTAATTTATTTATCTGATGTGTGTGCATGCTGGTGGGAGGTCACAAGACAGCCTGTGAGACTCATTTCTCTCCTATCATGTGGTTTGTGGGGATTGAATTTAAGTCATCAGGTTTGACAGCAAGCATCTTTACCCACTCAACCATCTTGCCAGCTCAATCTGAGTAAAATTTTACCATCTCTTTTATCTTATACACAGTAATAGCCAAAAGGGAGAGCATTTGGTCTGTTACATAATACAGAAGCAGATGAAGGCACCTTAGCAAACGCACTATAAATACACATACTTATGAGCACACACTTAGTATTAGATATGATTAACCTTTATTATTCATAAAAAATGAACTTTCTAAAGTATTAGTAAATTTCCGCTTTAGTTCTGTTTTGAAGTGTTGGTACCACTGAAGTAGCATTTTTCTTCTTTGAACTTTTTCTTGTAAAATGATAGTCTTCTCCTTTTCTAAAATAGCAGGAAGCTCCTTCCAGTCCTTGATGAAGATAAAGGGAGCCCCCATGGCCTTGAGTAACTGCAGAGGAGTGCTGTGGTGACTGGATGTGTTTCCACAGTGGCCAGCTGTCATTACATCTTCTACCACAGGAACTGAGCCAAAGGAGCTGGCCTCATATATTCTGTAACATTCTGTGTTCACTCCTACAGGACACAATGTGAGGTCACTCTGAAGCAAAGCATCTTGGTAATTCCTAAGACTTTCATTTGTCTCCTGAGGCTGCCACCTAGAAAATTAAACAACAAAGACATCCCTGAAGGGTTTTACTTTCCTATGGCATCTTTATTGAAGGAAATATTTTCATGTTAATTATCAAAATTGTGAACAAATTATAGAGATGATAATTATAAGGGACAGTGAAAATGTTGGAGCAAATATATTTCTTAAACTTTTTAAGAATTTCAGGATGTGGATATAGTCCAGTTGGTAACATTCAAACCTGGTATTGATCATCATCCATCTATAGAGCAGGTGTGGCTGTACATGCCAGTAATCACAGAAGTTGGTATGTACAGGGAGGATCAGGAGTTCAAAGTCATCCTGGGTGATACACTGAGTTTGAGGCCAGCCTGTGCTACGTGAGACTGCCTAAAACAATTTTTAAAAGAGTTTGAACATTTTATTATTATATATTTAAAAATATCTGGTGGTCAATTTTTGAATGGGTAGTATTCATTCAATCTGCATTTTCCAAGTGTCGGGTCCTTTCCTTCCTAGCTTCCTCTGAGGCATCTGTGTTAAGTTCTAGTGGTGGGCATTAAGTCTTAACTAAGCTAATGTAAGGGCATTTTCTAGAAAGGCTGTAGATTTGTGAGGAAAATTAAAGCAGAGAAGTACAGAAGGCCTTCCGAAGTGACAGGGCTGCACTAGAGAATGTTTCATTGCCAAGGACTCAGAACACAAGAGTTGATGTGAACAGGCAGGCCATGAAAGTGTGGAGAAGAATGGAGACTAAACAAAGATGAAGGTCATAAGATTGTATGTGCCCAACATGCTCAAGGGACTATGAGGAGTGACTGAGGGGGCAGGTGAAGAACAAAGTCTGAATGGTTATAGAAGGCTGTTCTATGCGCATGCGTTTTGATCAGGTGACATGAGCAACAAACATTTTAACAGAGTCAATCTGGCTGCTGTGTCAATAATGGAATATATAGGCCACTTATATGTAGGAGCTGAGAAATCACTTAGAAGTCAAGCATTGATTTCTGGTTGCATCTTCTTAGTGAAACAAGCAAGCATTTTTAAAGTAGGGGAGATTGAGGAAGAGGTGTTTTGAGTTTAGGACAGGAGGGAGGGAGAATACATTAGGAAGAAAACTGAGCAAGTGTTGAGTTCTTCAGTTTTCAAACTGTGCATACTCGTGCAGAGGCATGTGTGGGTATGGGGCAGGCAGAAAGTTAGACCAGCCAGGGTAGGGTTTCCTAGATGGGGGATTGAGGAACTTGCCCTACTCCACTTTGAAGGCAGGCGTCATTATACTGTATTTAAAAAAAATAAGTTTCTATTTACTGTGAGAGTTGAGTTGCTCTCTGCTTCCTAGAACCTGACCATCCCCAACCCATGACCTTGATTTGTTTTTGGGAATACCCTGACCCTCCCTAACCACACAGTTGGTGAACTTTTTTAAAGTTTTTTTTTTTTTTTTTTTTTTTTTTTTTCCTCTTTTCCCCTTTTTTCCCCCCCCCCCTCTCTTTTTTTCTTTTTTTTTTTTTTTTTTTTTTTTTTTTTTCTTCCTTCTGCTTCTGTCATCT